CTTTGCGCAATAGTGCCATTCATTTGCAATCATGGGGGTGAACATAAACTACAATGTAAGGAGTCTCAGATTCACCAGCGGTGTCCGGTAAGTCCACTAAAGGTCACGAGATTTGTAGCTAGTTGCTAAATAAAGCAAAAAAAAAGGAGCAACACTGAGTGGTTTTCGCTTCTTCGTACCGCCTAAGCTCCACCCCCCAGTGGTCATGGTAACGAATGAGAGAGCAAACTACCCTCACAAAACAGAGTGATTTTTAACCGAACTGTTACAAGTGGACATTAAGTTTCTGGATTAAATGTCATTTTTAAGGACCGATGAGAACAGACGAGAAGAACGATTCAAATGGACGAAAGGGGAGGAACAAGATAGTCCGACTCAACTCGATCGATCACTTTAAAGGTGTATGCCAAGCCTTCTGTACAGATCGCGAAATGCCTCATTTCTCCTTGATCAAAACCCAGGTTCGATTTCGCTTCTCTAATCCTCAATCATAGCAAACGATTCCATTATTGTGCATCGCTGATTCATCAACCGATAGTCACGCGCCAGCTGGGCAGCACAAAAGGCAAGTGAGAGGTCATGATTAGATGGTGAAATTGGAGGTGCAGCAAACAGAGTGTTGGCGACGTGAAAACGAAGGTAACTTTGGATGCAAGAGAAGCACATACGTGTCGAATTGAAGTTCACACCCGTCAGTCTTAATCAATCCAATCGAGAGGAACTGGTTAAAAAAAAAACATTCTATTTAAATTAAAACAAACTATTTCATATACATTTGATATGAATACATTTTGTTGAATAATTAGTTAATAACTTTGACTTGCATTAATTTTAAAGATTAAAATAAAAACAAAGCCAGCATGGCAGACTTCCAAATAAGATGCCTGCAAGTGTTTTGAATGCAACACTGTCAGTTTTGGTGATCCTTCCAATGGCCTTCATTGCTTTTGTTTTGCTCCCGCGCTGCCCTCAAACCTCCGTGTTCCTCTGACGGGGAGACATCATGAAAAATTGTTTGCTGCTTGAGAAAGTGAGTCAGCTTCTGTGTTCTTTTTCTTTCATTTGCCTTCCTGTGTAATTCCCAGCTGACATAGCCATACGAGTACATTACGCAAATAGTCTTGGAGGATGAAAATAGCAAATCCCCTTCAAGTCGAATCATTTGCTGTCAGGTGAAAAACGTGTTACTCCAGTTTCAGTTATTTTCATGGTTTTGACTCGCAAAGACAGATTACGCAGTCTTTCGCCGGTTGGGAAATGTTCTTGACCCTGGAGGATTATTATTATGAAACCTCACCCGCCGCCCACTTCTTTATTCTTTCCATTACATAAACGCAAACCAGCACGGTCATCAATTTAAAAAATAAATAAATACAATGAAAAATACATTTTAAAAATGGCTTATCTTCATCAACAAATTCCATGCTTTTAAGCGAGACTTTACAGAGATGGTGCCATCGCTTGTAAGAAGTTACAACAGAGAAAACGATGACGAATCGATCCCAGGCTTGTGCTGATCTCTGTTATAGATCGGACTCATGCCTTCTGGCGGTGAAACCCTTCAAAAACAAATAGTCGGCGTCAGTGGCGAATCGAGGACGCTATACCTGGGGTGGCAAGAGGTTCAGTTGAGGGTTGTTGTTGTAAATTTAGTTTTACTGACAAACGACACTCCCGCAATTGATGGAAGATGATGGGAGATGCGCAGAGACTCCTGCAAAACTCGAAAACTTCCTGAAGACTTTCCGTTTTTACGACTGTGACAATCGTGTAAGCCTTAGCACTAGACGACTGCAATGACGTTCGGGCTTTCCTTGACCGGTGCGCCGCCCACGGTCTGATGCAACCACTTTTTTGCCTTTAACCCTTTCGTGCACCAATACTGACAACCTGTAACCTGATAACATGTCCCTGAAAGTGTTAAAATGGGGGGAGCGTCGGAGTTTGACAGTACATTCTAAACCAGAGGTGTCAAACATACGGCCCGCGGGCCGGAACCGGCCCCCAAGGAGGTTCGATCCGGCCCGCGGGATAATTTAAATGTGGGGAAAAATGCGTTAAAGACACAGAATGAATATTTTAAATAAAATGCAATTCTGAATTATCCACTAAGGGGCACACTGTTTTGATCACAGTAGAAGACAACATTGTTTTGATCGGGGAAGAAAACAGCAGTCTCAGTCTGTCACCGAGATAGACCCAACGCAGCAAATGATATGAAAGCACCAATCAATGCTTCTTGAGACCAAAACAAAGGAAAGAGATGAGATTTTGGTGATTCATAGCACAGTGTGGTATCATGTTAATGGTTCGGCCCACTTGACATCTATCGAGTCCGTATGCGGCCCACAATGTGAAATGAGTTTGACACCCCTGTTCTAAACTGTTTAGAAACCATTCATGCACACTACAGAGACAATGGAAGGAACATTTATAATCAAATATTTAAATTTATTATTGGGTCGGCACGGTATTCAACTGGTTAGCACGTCGGCCTCCCAGTGCATAGGTGCAGGGTTCGATTCCGCCTCTGTCCTTCCTGTGTGGAGTTTGCATGTTCTCCCCGTGCCTGTGTGGGTTTTCTCCGGATACGCCGGTTTCCTCCCACATTCTAAAAACATGCTTGGCAGGTTGGTTGAACACTCTAAATTGTCACTGGGAGTGACTGTGAGCACGAATGGTTGTTCGTCTCTATGTGCCCTTGTGATTGGCTGACAACGAGTTCGGGGTGTACCCCGCCTACTGCCCGAAGGCAGCTTGGATAGGCTCCTGCATGCCCAAGACCCTTGTGAGGATAAGCGGATTAGAAAATAATGGGTGGATGAATTTTGTATTGATAGAGCCAATGGGGTGGCAGGTGGGATTGCAAAACCTTTGGTTGGGGTGACGTTTGCCACCCCTTGCCACCCTGTAAAACACGATTAGATTTACTAGCTCACATTCCCATGCATGCTTCCACACCAGAGCAACTACAGGATGCCCTCCAGTGACAAGTCTCCCATCAGTGTCAGTGCCCAGCAGTACACCGGCCTCTTTTGTCTTCCCTCAGTTGCTTCCACGTCAACACCTTCAAACCTCTCTAAGGTCGCACTGTGAGGAGGGAGGTAATTCTCCCCTCCCGCACGATTCCACTTGTGGCAAACGTGATCGATTCAATCAAAACTATTTTTAGCGTTCACTCCATCCTCCGTCGTAGCACCCTCCAGGGCTCGGTCTCTGCAACCTTTGGACCACTGGATGGTGATAAAGTAGACTCATGACATGACTTTCCGCACACAGTTATGAGTCACACTAGCACTGCAGCAGGGTTAATGTTTTTTTTTTTTTCGCTTTTGGAGTTTGAGCCACGAGAAGAGGAAAGGTATATGATGTAATTCCAGGAGAATAAAGTAACTTGGTGCAAAAGCTTTTGAATATAGTGATGTACAAGTGTTGGTCTAACTTTTTAATAGAATATCCAACACCCTTGAAGTTATACAATTCAAGATACATTTTGAAGGTAGAATAAAGCTCCAAAACTGTGGAAAACCACGGCGAGAGTTGTAACTTGAGTTTTGTGAAAGTTTGGATCGTTAATGGGTGCGCTCTTATAATACGTTGCCTGGGTTCCCGTTCAACTCCCACGAAAGATAAAATTGAAGGTTAAATATAGCGGAACCAATAATATATGATCTTTATGCCACTTCAATATTTAAATGCCTCAAAGACCAAACGATTAACTACGTTGCGCATTGCTAAAAATATAATGTTGAAGGTGTTACATTTTCATCCCTCCATTTTCCATAATGCTTTTCCTCATTAGGGACACGAGTGAGCTGGAGCGTGTCCCAGCTGACTCTGGGCAAGGGGTAGAGTATGCCCTGGACTGGTCGCCAGCCAATGACAAGTAAAAAAATAAAACAACAACAACAACAACTTCGCTGAGTGGTCATCTTCTATCTGATAGTGAAGTGTTCCAAGTCTATGAAGCCCCACTTTGGTGATCAAAAATGATTCACTGCTCGATAAAAGGCTACTTAGTAATTCAAACACATACAATCTATTAAAACGCTCATGTGCCGTATATTGCAGGTGTTATGTCGTCGAAAGAGGTGGGGTACACCCAGGACTGGATGCCAGTCAATCACATGACACATATGGACATACAACCATTAACGCTCACATTCATGCCTTTGGACAATTTACACTTCAGTTCTGCGACAAAGGGAAGTGGTCTTCAAAATTCAGATATTTTCCTATTTTTTTCAAACATGAGATGCCTTGATGAAATGACATTTAGTGAAATCTCCTGAAACGTAATTCTCATAAAGTAAGTATTATTATGTCAAACATCTATATCGGGACAGTGTCGGTACATGTATGAGTACTCCAATTTTTAGCTCTACAACCTCCTGTACTTATCAATCTGCATCGTTCAATTCTTTAAAAAAAAAGGGCAAACTATTAATTTAGTCTTTTCCTAAAAAGAAAAAAAAAAGATGGCATACATTGTAAAATGTTTATAGTCTTTTATTTGAAAATCTGTCATTTATTGAAGAAGTTACTGTGAGCTGTTTGCAGTTATTAAATTGGTTTCTGTTTAGACCAAAGATAATTTAGTTTCAAGTTTTGCATTTTGGTCCCTTCCTCTGATCGACTGTCGACCTGAAAATCCAAATACTTCCTGAATTATTTTTGGAGCGCCCCAAATGACTCATTTCATTGATGTGGATGTATTTGCATGTCCAATCAAATTTCTGCACGTGAAATGACCCCTTGCTCTTTGGAAATAAAATCTTAAGGGTGTTTAAGAAACATCCTTGTTGCTATTTGATTTGCATGCGTCTAAATACGTAAACAGCAGTGTCACGTCCTGCGTGTGTGCTGCACCTCATTATATCGACTTGTGGGGAAGCTTTAATGAGGGGGAGATTGCCACAGAGTGCCGATGTGTGTGTGTGTGTGTGTGTGTGTGTGTGTGTGTGTGTGTGTGTGTGTGTGTGTGTGTGTGTTTCTGTGTGTGTGTTTCTGTGAGTGACTCCATGTTAGCCTTGCAAACGTCTTGTTAAATTAGGCTGCTGCGACCGAGTTGATGAGGCCTCAGCTGTTGGAGAGGAACCTGCCTGGATGTATGCGTATCGGTGACGAGCTGCAGACCAACTCGTTGAAACATATCCTCTGTCCTTGTCTGCCTCCAACTCATTTTTGGCTAAAATGAAAATCGGACCAGATTTGAGCATTTTCCCAACCCTTGCAATCAAAGTCAGCAAATGCTTGATCTTTGTAAGTCTCTCGAAAACGATCATGAGCGATTACGCTGTGCTGTGGGGTGTGTTAAGAGTTGATTTTTTTCCTCCCCCCGAGCTGCTCATGAAATGTGTCAAAAGTTTCTGATTGCAATATGTGTGCTGTGTTTGGTCTTTCTGAGTACACCACACACATAAAAGCAGTAAGAACACACATGATGATTCCTTTTTTTTCCCCTTGTCATTTGTGGGATCTCTTACCTTTTAAAAATTGGTTCGGAGGATAAAGTGCCTATGTCTGTATTCTACAGTCTGTCGAAGAAAGGACATGACAATTGATTGACGGTAAAGAATTTGACGTTAGAGCATGAAAATTGAGTGTACCCATCAGAGACCGACATAATAGTAAGCTATTGTGAAGCTGCGCTACATCCGCTCGAGGGTACAATTCCACCGGGTAGCTCCTCAAAAGAACCTTAGCATGGAAAAAAACCCCCAAAAAAAAACAAAACAAAAGAGAATTAAAATAGTGTTATGCTTCCCTGCACCCAAACGGTCTGAACAGTACCAACATTAGTATACACATGCTTTCTGCTACACTTGAAGTATTGCATGATAGCATTGGGGAAGATGCTACTTTAACTTAACAAGTTTTAATCGTAAGCATGTAATAATGCTCAATAAGTCTTCTCAAAGGCCACTTTAGCAACAGAAACGGCTGCTGATGAAAACTTGTCCAATACATTGAACCCGACTGCCATTTTTAAGTGACAGAACAGTCTTGTTTTGGTGCTACAGTAATTCCATTTTTTTTTAACCGGCGCTAAATGTCCATACATTCAACATCTTAAAGAGACGTTCCCATGTTGATACGATAGCAGCCATAGAAGACAAAATAATGAGCATATCAATGATCACGTTGTTCATTTCCATTCTCAGCGCTGAAAATTTGATGTATATTTATTTTTTTCAAATGGTCCAAGTGCTACGCCACACCACATGCAAGCTACGGTTTACCCACTGAAGTTGAATCAGAGGCAGATGCTCTGGTTGCCTTCACTTCAAATTTAGAGGATGAACCGCAGCTTGTGTGTCACACTAATGACTTGGATGGCTGAGAATCAACACAGACAACCCGTGCTTCATGAAAGTCTGGGTTTTTTTAACGTGGAAAACAAATGGAAAAAAAGGCAACGTCTTGCCTTGCATCGAACTGTTCTGCTGAGTCGCACACTTGCGCAGCAGCCGCACACATTCGGGACGAACGAAATGACATGGGCGTTGGAAAAAGGTTTAGCGGCATGATTTTGGAAGACAAAGTGAGTTTGTTGGGACACACATGCTGCAGTAATCTCCACAGTGAAATGGAGGCTAGCTCACTTGCGGCCCTCTTCGCCCTGCATTCAAATACATTATTATTATTATTCTTAATAATATTACAATAGAGTGCTATAAAATAAGGGGTTGGAGGGATTTACCTTACTGGAAGTCTTTTTTGGTTTCCTATTTTTTTTTTGTGTGTGTCATAAGGTTTCAAAAGGTATACACAGATACACATGATAAATAAGCACAGTCTATACATTTGAGAATCAACAATATGCGATCCCATATGACATGTATCATTTTAGCAAAAAAATGTAGATCACTTTTGTTGAGACACACAAAAAGCCTTGGATGCAGGTGTTAGTGCATAGGTGCCTGCAGACAAAATGAGTATTTGAGTATTGACCTGCCCTCTCCTGTCAAGAAATGACAGTCCTTTAAATAGAGATCATTTTCACACCCTCCTCGATTAACATATTACTTAAATATACCTCTATCTATATACATGACGTAAATAAGAATAGGACAAAGCATAAAAGATTGTTACCTGGTCAAGTGTCTATTAAATCACAGCGAGTTTAAGGTAAAATAAAAAGCGGAACACAGTGACATCTGATCAAAGAAAATGAAAGCAACCCCACGTGAGATAACGTTTGTATGCGTTTCAGTCTGGAGGAGCACAGGAGGGTGTGATCAATCCTCACAAATTGGAAGGAAGCTTTGAGCGGACTGCTTGAGTTTCGAGATCTGACGAGTAGGCAGAGGAGCCCCTCCGGAGCGATGGGGACGGCGAGGCTACGACAGAGTGAGTCTGATGGGGGTGGCCCGGAGAAAGCTGAATTGGAGGAGTCAAATGACCGGGAACCGAGCTACAGGTTTTGGATTTGAGAGTGGGTGAGGAGAAAGGTGAGGGGTAATAACCAGTTTCCACAGAGGAGCAAGCAGTTTGGTACCCTAAGGCCTGGGCCACCTCCTGGGGAAGAGATGAATGCGAGCTAGATAGCAGCTTTAGATCCTCAGAAAAACGACCAGGCTGTGTATCTCTTCCTGCGGTGTGTGTCTGGACCGAAGGATGTGAAGGAAGAGAGGACTGAGGCATGAGCAGGGAACTGTGGGATCCTGTGGCACTGGATGGGTCGCTGAAGTGGAAAGTCCTGCTTGTCACCGGGCTTTGAATAGTTGGGCTCGGTGCCACCGGAGTAAGGCATGGCGAGACGTTGGCTGAACCGTACTGGGCCAGGGAAGCCAAGGCAGACCTCTCCAAAGACAACTGGTGTGGAAGATATCCGGACTGGAGACTTGCCAGGCTAAAATGCCCAAGCGATGACGGTGAACCCTCGCTGGGCTGCTGGCCATTATCCCCTTTGCTTGAAGAAGAGAAGCCGTGTGGTGGGGAGTGGAGGAGGTTCAAGCCACTTGTAGTCCTGCCCCCTCCAGCAAATTGTTGCAAGGGGGTCAGTTGAGGAGGCTTGGGGGGTGGCTGATTGTAGAGAAGCTGTCCTGGCATGGGGCTGGAAGAGCCAGTAGATATTGGGCTCTGACAGCGTGTAGAAGAAATAAGTCCCTCTGTGGTGCCACCTGAAGCCCCCCCTGAAGGACCAGTTACTGCATGGCCCCCTACTGCGCCCTCTGTTGTCCTGCTGTTATGTGCAGCAATCCCTCCTCCCCCTGTCCCACTTGGACCTACCTCGATGTAGCTCGCTGCAGCTCCACTGGAAGCCCTTCCCAGAGATCCTCCTCCAAGAGTTGATATTAGACAGTCACTCGAAATGCCAATAAGGGAACCCACAGCTACTCCTCCGTTCGCTCCTCCGGAAACCTTTGATCCAAAAGAGGGTCGCCCGAGCGATCCGCTATTGGTCACTGCTACACTTAATTTTTCATAAGTCCCACCTACTGAGCCACGGGAAGTCCTCCCTAATGACCCTGCGGCAGTTGTCGAGACCAGTAAATCTCCAGAGGTCTCTCCTGCTGTCCCAACTGAAGCCCTCCCTAATGATCCTCCAGTGGTGGTTGATAACATTGATTCTAGAGAGGTCCCTTCGAATGAACCGCCAGAAGCCCTTCCTATGAATAATTCGCCAGAAGCCCTTCCTAGTGATGCAAGTGAGACCCCTCCCAAAGATCTTCTGGCTGGATCTGATACTGACACACAGGTAACACCGCCTGAGACCCCTGCTGCTGTTCTGCCACAAGCACCACCTGTTGATCCTTCAGAAACCCCTCCCGGTGATTCCCCTGAGATACCCCCCACTGATCCACCGGGAGCTGCTCCCAATCTGAAGGGTTTCAGCGTACTCGCTTCCGTCGTTGTGGCTGTAAAATCCTCACCGGCCCATCCACCGTCACCTCCGCTCGCCCCTTCCAAAGACCCTCCGACTTCTCCACTCAGAGGCCAGTCTCCTGCACCACCGCAGGCGCCGACTGCACTTCCGCTTATTCCCGACCCTGTGCTTCCACCCGTCGATGTTTGGTGGAACAAATTGGATAAAGGCGGGGTGGTGGAGCGAAAAGGCTGCTGATGCTGTGGTTGTGAGTGCAGCTGGGCCAAACTCGATGAGGGCGAACTGGATGATGAGTACGGTTTGCGAGGAAGCGCAGAGGAGCCGCTCACATTAAACCCTGACTTGTTCTCATTCAGTCCATGGTGGCCTCCACTACCTGAACCCTGTTGGCTAGAGCTAGTTGCCCCCGAACCTGATTCTACATGCTGAGCCTGAAAAGAGGCCAGTAAGGACATGTCCACACCGGTACGCCGTTTCGAAGGTGTGCTGACAGGAGAATCCCCAGCAGACCCAGGAGCTGGCGAAGACGGCCCAAAAGTGTGAAACTTCTTTTGCCGACTGGGGGGATCCTTCAGGGACCCAAGCACTGAAACCGGAGGCCTGAAGAGAGTCGGTGGAAGGTGGGGATGGTGTGTGAGAGCGATTGCGACCGAAGTGGTGGCGGCGGCCGCCTGGAGAGGCGCCTGGATTAGTGGGGCCCAGATGACAGGTGTGGGCGAAGGTGGTGTCTGGGGAGGGGCGTTCTGCAGAAGGTGGGCACAGTGGGCCATGTCCCTGTCGTGCTGCACAATTTGTTGGATGATTTCATTCTCCTGGTAGTTGAGGACACCCGAGCTGAGGTCATGCTGCACCTTATGCTGCAGGATGGAATTTTTCTTGCCTATCAACGCATACAGAGAAACAGACACACAAACAGACAGCGACAGGGGAGAAAGAAAGGGAGAGGGAAAAAACAAGAATGAGCATATCTTCAGCAGATAGTGCTCAGCTGACATTTTTTTTTTTTTTTAATGTACTCGAGCGACAACCTTATTTTACAGCATCCCTCGCCTGTGGAAGCTAGCACAAAAAGGGTACAGAGGAATCACAGCAAAATGCTCAAGAAAGAGATAATGAGATTGCAGAATGCAACGGGGAAGACAAACAGAGTGGAGACAAAGAGAAACAGCAATAAAGACAGGTGGGATAGAAACCACCCAGAAACGAGGAAGCATGACAGCCTCAAACAGGAGTCGGTTTATGTCTCAGTAGCTCTGACTGTGCGATTCCATAGACAAACAAACCCTTATGCAAGTGGATGCATATTCATTTGGGTGGCTTTTGGACCAAAAAAGAAGAAATCTAAAATCAAACTAACTGACTGACTGAATGAATGAATATATCTGTCATGGGGATCATCATGAGTAAAGTGGAGTAAACAAATAAATAAAGAAACAAATCCTGATAAGGTCATTCAAATTCGAATATTATCTTCCGTGGGCAATTCGGTAAATACGCGAATAAATGCAATTATTTCATTATTTTTCCATTTATACACATTTCAACATGTCAATTCATCAAGATATAATATGATATATTACATTTTTGTCAGGTAACATAAAAATCAACACTGTCACAGTTGATTTGTTTGGGACCAACAGGTGGCTCTGTTGGGCTCCTCCTACAGCGGCACACCTGTTGGTCATCATGTCATTAGTAGGCTTTCTGTTAAAAGGACTCCCGACCACTTGGTGTCGGGTCATTGTGTCTGTTGCTTCTGTCGGTTTGTGTTTGTCAAGTCATATTTTTTGCTTCTGCCATGGGTTTTGTTGTTACTTTGAATTCTTGTTGTTTTCAGGACTTTGCTTGTTTGGGATTTGGTTTTCTCAGTGTTTGATTAATACATTTTGTCAAGTTCACCCTGCTCCTCCCTCTTGCCTGCTTTTTGGGGTCCTCCACCACCATCTTTAGTGACAAACAAAAAGCATAGTAGGGCAGCAACACTACCGTAATTGACTTTTTTTTTTTTAAATCCTAAAATTCTTGACAATGACATGACCTTTCAATGTTCCAAAAATATACCTCAACCCCCCCAAAATGAGAAGACAACAAATGTTTCTTGTTATATATCGTGATTTACCGCATGTGATGATTTCAGGGTTTAAGGATGTTTTTTACAGCAGCTGTTCTGAGGTTTTACTTGATTTGGAATTGTTATTGGCTTGTCAACACCGCTCTCAAAGTCAAGTCTGTCAAGGACTGCCAAGGTCAAACAGACTAGATGACTCCACCCTCCCTCAGAAACTGCACAAAGCCCTGACCTCTAAGTCCATTAGCTGTAATCGAGCGGTGACAGGGTCAATTCGTAGGCCTGCCATTCTCAATTCCAGCCTGAATAACCCCAAGATATTCCAAATGCAATTAGATGCAGAACAAGCCGTCCGTTATGACTGGTTGCTATATGCGGCTGGAGCGCTTCCTCCGAGGACAACCCCCAATCCACCTGCTTGCTAATCGCTCGCAAAACCTCTAATCAGATTGTGCAAGTCCATCAAGTAAGTCATTAATTTGTGCGTCAGCGCTATACGGTGCGCCGGTGACTTTATTAAGGGAGAGAGGGACGTACAGGCAGGATAAAGGGCTGTACACAGGAGACCATCTCGAAGATCACTATCAGCCCGCCGTATATTTTCAAGGCAGCCATTTGCGACAAAGAGTCTCCCCCGCCTATAAGCAATGTCTCTATCCTCCCTGCTAAACATAGCCGAGGATAAAAACCGAGCAGGCGAGTGACGGCTGAGTGATGATACGGACGTGCCTCTCATTGTGAATATTTTATTTGCGCAGGGCTTTGAGTAGACTGATGGATATGCTGAGAATATCAATTGTCTGCAATGTGGAGCAAACGGGGAACTCAAAAGCTTTGACCGAAGTTTTCAACGGCTTGGCCGAGTGCTCAAACGTGATGTTGGCTCAACAATTTCCACAAAAGGGGATGGCAGGGTGGAGAAGTCGCTGACGGAGGTCTTATTAAATTAAAATTTTGCTCCCTGTGCAGGTCAAAGTAAAGTCTGTTAGTTTTTTATTTTGTTATGTGCTCTCTGTTATGTAGAAGAGTATTTAATTGTAATGCTCGTCACTATAAATTGCTGACATATAGTCGAACAAAGATACATTATTTGGAGTAAATATATAATCAATTTTTTTGAACCGTTGTGTGCAATTGGATAATTTCCCATGGCAGACTTGATGATTGCTTATGGTACACGGGGCCATCACTGTCGTCAACCATCATTCATGAAAATGAGAAGGAGAAAACACTACCAAGAGCTGGACTGATTTTATAAATGTAACATATTGTATTTTAGTTCTTCTTTCTCGATATCATTATTTATTCACTTGTTTAGTTAAATATAGCCTTAAAAGGAATCAGAATTTAGTCCATTAAAATGATCCAAATGTACTGTATGTATATAACAATATGTACTTTTATAAATGTGAAAACTTTGTCCCCAATAGTCTCCTTGTACTCAATACAGTAAATTAAGGCTCGATCGGGATTTGTGTGTTAGGTTTAGGGTTGGTGGAAATGTGGACATAAGAGACAAATCCTTACCAATCCTGTCCAGTCTGTCCAAGGCAACTGTCTCAAAGGCCCGTCGCATCATGGGATACTCCTCCAGGACCTCGTTGAAGTTGTCCACCGACAGCGAGTAGAGACGACAGTACGTGTCGGCTCGCACGCTGGCCGTACGTCTGCCGCGAGTCAACAAACAAATCTCTGCAATGAACCCAAACAAAACAAACAAAAAGACATTTGTGATTTCATTGGTATCCCATCATTAGCCGTTAATATGCTATGGCCCCGGCCACACCAAGCCACGTGGTCAAACGTGAGTGAACTAGACAAAAAAAAAAAAATCGCTGATGTGACTGTTTCTGTCAGTTTTTCGGGCAGGCCCACGTGGGTCCAGTCTCTCCCTCATCGGTGACAGCCATTCGGCATCGAGAACGTAATTTCCACATCACACACTGCCAAATTGTGTAAAATGTAAATGAAAGCAACACACACATACCACACACATACACAGACATGCACAGCATGGTGATTGGTGAAATAAAAACAATACGAGACACATAATTGAAGTCTGTGGGACTGAAAGGTATAAAACAGTTTTGTTTTTTTCAGTATTTTGGTTGTGTGTAAGTTGCACAACTTACACACAACCAGGACTTAGACGCAGGACCAGTAACTCCGTTCTCAATGCTGTTTGGCTGTCACTGACAACTTGGACAAACTGAGTGGACCTAAAATACTGACAGCAGCTGACTGATGGACTCACACGTGCCCTCCTTTGTTACTGCATTAATTTTTTTTAACAGGCAAAAAACGTGATTTTTTTTTTCCAGTGTAAAGAGCTCTCTTGCCTAAAAATTACCATTCAAGGACGACACAAAGCTACTGAACAGCAAACCAACATCAAGTACTAGAACTGATTTTGTGCTTTTTTTTTTAAATTTATTATTATTTTTTTTTTTTTATTTTTTTTACAAGAATCAACTCACAAAAAAATGTAATATTATTCAACAACTGTTTGTCATGCATGCCATTCCAAATCTGCAAAAAATTATTCGTCCTACTCATGTAGTAGTAGTACGGGGCAGTAAACAAGCCTGTCATGATTCGGTTTGGGACCAACAGGTGGCACTGTAGGGCTCTCCCTGCAGCTGCACACCTGTTGGTCATTATGTAATTAGTGTTTTAAAAAGACTCCCAGCCCGAACACTCGGTGTCGGGTCATTGTTGCTTTTTGCTGCTGTCATGTTTGTTTGTCAGTCATGTTTAGGTCATGTTTAGGTCATGTTTTTGTTATTGATAGTTTTGAGCTTCAGTCATGGTTTTTGTTTGATACTTTGGACTTTGTTTGTTTAGGATTTAGTTTTCTGTGTTTTATCAATACACTTCTTCAAATACACCCTGCTCCTCCCTCCTGCCTGCTTTTTGGGGTCCACCACCACCTCGCAACCGTGACAAAGCCAGTGCAAGTGCAACTAAACCATGTCTGCTACCTAGTGGTGAATAGTATATTACAGCTCAAAACTAACACAAGCGCGCACACACACACACACACACACACACACACACACATTCCAATGAGTTTTGGAATGGTCATTATAGCATTGCTAAAATAACACATTTTGCGACTTTTACACACTACTGTAATGTATGACCATCAATCTATAGCATTCTCATTCATGACGGTTGCGGGGGAGCTCATCTGGCTTGGACGGACAGGTGGGGTGCACCCTAAATTGGTCGGCAGTCAATTGCACATAGATAAACATTTACACTCATATTCAAACCACAGCTTCCCTTAAATAGTGAGATCTGTCAGATGTCATCTGCCATAGCTACTCAAGAAACTAATGGTCCATTTAACAGGTTTGCACTCAGTTTGCACATCTGCCTATACAGTGTGCAATTACATGTATGCATGTGTCTGTGTGCGTGTGTGTGTGTGTGTGTGTGTGTGTGTGTGCTGCTGTCTGCACAGAATGAGTATGCATGCATGATCGCGAGCCGCTGTCGCATGTTTTATTCATGAGAGCTTTGCAGTGTAAGTGGCGGTGATAATAGAGGCTATATATTCTATATATATGCATATGGAGATATGAATGCACCTACGAGGATGCCGTAGATGCTAACTTTTGGGTTATTTCATTGTATTTGGTGTGTGTGTGTGTGGGTGTGTGTCCATTTCATCCAATATCTCTTTAGCTTCTCCTGCTATCCCACTCTCTGTTTCTCAGAAAGCCATTTCCCGTTTATCCCCTTCATATTCCGTATGTTGGCAAACACACCTCCCACACGGATTTCTGGTGCGCACGAGGCCACGTCTCTTTTAATCAATAAAAACATTTGCAACGCCGGCTGCTGTTTACGTTTGGCTGCGAGGGTATGATGGTGGCGCGTGAGAATGCGGGCGCGAGGTGAAGCACAATGCTGAGGCTGCGTTAAAGGCTGCTAACAATCAGGGCCCATCACATCAATGCTCTTCACCGCCACGACCCATTTTGCTGGGGAAAAAGGCCGTAGGCTTCTCGCTTTAACTTTCTCACCTGCGTCACTTCTTATCTAGAGTAATTTGATTATTTACAGTGGTTAGCAAGTCTGCCTCACAGTGTCTGATGTTTGAGATGTGGGGAGGCAAAGCTAAAGTAAGAACTGCTTAAGAAGCAGCCATTTCATAGTAACTCCAGTGTGTGCATTTTTGTTAGGGTTGGAGCTCGAATTCAATTTTCATGGAGAAGAGAACCATATTTGGTAAAGACAACAGCACTTTGTATACAGCGATGGTTGTTTTAAAGTGCTTAATATATACAGTTGAGTTGAGTTGAGAATGGGTTCAAATTGGAACTCTCAACTCAACTCAACTGGAACTGGAACTCAACACTATTAGAGAGTAGAACAGGAAATGTCCTGAACACTCAGCTCAGATGAATTCATTTCTTAAGCTTTCATGATTGAAAAGTTTCTGATATTGGCTGTTACCATTTCCAGCTGGGAAAGGCTCCAGCTCCCCTGTAAGTCTCACGAGGACAACTGCAATAGAAAATGGGTGGACAGTGTCGAAAAACACTAAAAAAGAAATGTTTGGTGGTACGTCTTGATCATAATGTACAGAATCCTAAATTCTAATGGAGTGCAAAGTAGTTTTGAGAATATGCGATGGGCAGGGAAGGCAGAATGTGAGTGAGGAACATCAAGTGCAGATGAAAAGAGGAGATGGCTGAGCAGAACATGGCCAAGTGGAGAAGACAGCTGTGAATAGGCGAGTATAAAAATACCCGTGTGTGTGTGTGTGTGTGTGTGTGTGTGTGTGTGTGTGTGTGTGTGTGTGTGCGCGTGCACTGTAAGTGGTTGCTAGCGGGGCAGCCCTGGCTGTAGTTGCGCCGGCAGCGCTCCGGTAATCCCCTCTGGAGAGGAGCACCGCAGCGCTGTATTAAATCCTCTTGTCCTGTGGCTTTCTGGATGAAGCCGGCGGGGCAAAGATGAGCTGTTAGGGATGCAGGCTGTCAGCCCTCCGGCCTCGTGGACGTGTCTTTGCACACAAGTCAAGCTCACACACTTGGCGGGACCGGACGAGAGCGCGGCGAAGAAAGAATTATCTGCGGTTGCGTTAGGAGCCACAGCAAACCCTCTCAAGGCGAAACAATAAGATACCTTGGAGCAAGACTAATATCCTGAAACAGGGTCTTGAATAAGAGAGACTGCAAAATAGGATGAAGCTAACATGCAATAAATACAAAAGGGCAACAGTAGAAACTTGAAAAGTTTTCCGGTGTCAGACTGTCATCATCAAAAAACAACAAAAAAAAACCAAAAAAACACATGCAGGTCGGTCAGTGATTGGTTGCCTAGATTGATGAGTCATCTCAATAATATATAACACTGTCATCAAACTACAAACAAATTCAAATGACATCATAGAGGAGGCATTAGAAGATATTCAAATCTAATCTAAACAGGTAAAAAAAGATTAAGATGTTGCATGTTGGTACACACACACACACATATATATATATATATACCTGTATATGCGTGTGCCACTGCTAATTTACAAATGTATCTTCTTGTGTCAACTGTTCTTGATCAGTCAGATCAAAAAAACAAATAAAAATGCAAAAATGACTGCAGCGTTCACCTCTCCGTGGCTTCTGCGGACGTTTTTATGCGTTACAATCATTCGATTTATGAATGGAGCTGCTCCTGCATGCTTACTCACACGCTTACTTGTGACTCATCGCAACGCTCCCAAAATAGGCACAAGGACCGATTCAATGCCGCTGCCTGCGTTTTGCCAGTCGCGCTATCAAAACCTAAGTCCGTTGTCTTCTTTTTCCATCCTCATCTACAATCGTACATTTCTGTGCTGTCTGGAGCAACAATGAGATGATTCGTAACCAGCTGCCGACTGTCATTAGGGGCTGCGACAGATCCAGTGAACACCACACCAGTCGCAATACAAGATAACCGGCTGTAGACATCTCATTACATGTGATATCGTCCAATGAGAAGCAGCGTTTAGAGAGTGGGGGTCGGACGGGTGGGGGTGGAGGGGGGCATTCTCCGCAAATGAGGGGGAAAATGAATGTGGCTTTGCAATGAATTTTCCCATCGTGTCTGCTGGTGTATCTGGCCTGGCGGAGATATTCGCCCGCCAACGTGTCTGGCGAGAGGCCAATCTTTTTCTTCCACACTTATGAGACAAAGCATTCATCAAAATTGAATGACACCAAGGAAAATTGGATCTTGCTCGATGAAAAAATAACAAGAAGAGGAGCAGAGACAGAATGTTCTCTGACCTTGGTGAGAGCACGCCAAGGTCGAAGCTACCCATTAGTGTCTACACCAGCACTTAAACACCGGTGTGACAAGCGGGAGCGATAGAGTATGAATGGGCTCTATCAGTGGCCACGGTGTTGTTTTAGTGAACTACAGATGGAGGGTGAGGCATCGTTTAGGAGGAAGGCCATTATTTTGGGTATATTAAGATTCGGAATGTATCACAACTCAAGTGAAAAAGGACTGGAGGTCAAAATTAAATAGGATTTAACGACAGGAATAAGGATCAAGCTCTGCCACAAGGAGTTGTTGACATCCATCCAAGATGGTGGCAAAACACTTTTTTAAATGACAAAGTGCTTTGGCCTGAGGACAAAGCTGTGAATTTTCTACTTGACAGTGAATACTGGAGCATAATCGAGAAATAGGCGAAT